AACCGCTGAGCTAAATAAGGGTGAACATTACGTTCTGTACGACTGCATCTTGGATGAGCTGTAACGTTCGGGGCGACCAAGTTTCAGCCTGACAACAGATGTCAGCTTGATCTAGGTAGCCAAAGTCCGATCCATCGCAGCCACTCATTTCATTCGAGTAGAATGGGGACAAGAACTGGTCAAACCATCACCACATTTTACCTCAACAAAAATGGTGTTGGCTATACTTTCTACCTTTTGCGTCGTTTTCACTACTTTATGAACTACTAACAGTTAATTGCGATCCATTTAGCGATGTTACACGTTGAACGGATTGGAGCCGTAGTATTGTGCAAAGAGCAGCGGTTGAGCACTCGGGTAATAATCGACATGGCATTCGTAGCCGGTGTGATGGCAGACACAACGATCGTAATTGTCAGGACGATTTCAGTTTATGTAGCTGCCAGCACCCAAAGCGCCAGTTTTCAAAGAAAAATGTATGTATTAATCACAACATCTAACACACGACTTAGGAACCAGTGCCTGATGGAGAACTGGTCGTGCGCAAAGATGCCGTCGATGCCCCAATTGATGATGTAGTCGTCTTGCAAGGCTTCTTCGTTGTACAAGGAGGCTTGCTGGAAATTCCAGGAGCCGCTGTGGTAATGCCTGGGGCCGTTGGGGTAGTCACAGGAGCAGCCGTGTGTACTAGGCCCCAAATCAGATAACGAGGAAAGAATCAGATACTTGCATGATTTGATTATCGATGCAGCGTGGATCTATTGAACTTATCAAACCATGAAATACCGGTACTCAGCAGAAATCATACTTGCTTCCAAAAAACTGTTCAAATTTTTCAGACATGTGAAAGCCACGTCAATAATGATAATGTAAGGCATTACAAAATTTAAATCCTTCTGATTGGCTGCCGCCAAGTAGATTTAGGCGCGGAAAGTTAAACATCAAATGCAGCATCATTCACCTCTGACCAGGTCTTCCTGGGCTAATGCCTCGAGGACTACTCGGAGGTGGTTGACAACTGCGACGGCGTGGACGACTTCCTTAGTCCTTGTGGACTCTGACGAAGTTTGTGTGCGTGTACTGAAGAACTTCACGCGCCGTGAATTTAACGTACTGTGGGAGGACGTTGAGCTTTCTCTCAAGCTCGGTGGCACGATGGACGTGGCTCCAAGTCCAAGACGTCGCCGAGGGACGGGCTGTTCATGACGTTGGCCGTGCTTAAGCACTAGAACTCCTGGGAGAAGCACGCGAAGGACTTTGGCTTCCGCGCAACAACATTCCAGAAGCTGGTTCTTTGGGTGATAGACATCGTGGTCACTGTTTTCGTGGTCGAATTTGTCAAGTTGCCCAGGATGTCCTAGTTGTGCGCGAACAGCGGTTCCTTTATCAACTATCCGTACGCTCTCTAAGCTACAAATGTCTAGTTCCAGCCTTCTGAGCGTCTGTCTGGTCGACATGATGAGGCAAAGCTATACTTCAGCGCGAAGCACAAGATGTATGGTCTTAAGATTGAAGCATATGTGTATCCTCAAGGATTGATGGTGGATATGAACGAGGCACACCGTGGAACCGTAGCCGACTTGACATTCATTCGATTCGATAGAGCAGCACTAAAAAACGCTGAAGTAGGCGGATCAAGAACTGAACATCGTTGACCATGGGGAGCAAGTGGATTCTAATCCATCGATGTGGGGTGCCCTTGTGTGTGGACTAGGGGTACTACGGAGCCATGGCTGACATACGGGTCTTTCCCCAAAGAAAAACTCTCCTCGTGGAATTCTCGACGCGGAAGGTGTTGTGCGAAACCGCCGGGTGTCACCGGACCGAGTGATCGTTGAGAACTTCTTCGGGCGAGTTTGCAGCTTGTGGAAGGTGTCCTATGCGACGTTCACGTGGAACCCCAAGTACTATGACAATATTCAACCACTCACGTTTGCTTTGACGAGCTACCATATTTCGTTAATGCCTTTGCGCGAAGCTGATTGGTTTTGGTATCGCTCCGTGCTAGCTCGCTACGAGTCTATGGTGAGTGTATGGCAGCGAAACGTGCGGAGAGCTAGCGCAACTCACGACTTCGTCGTACTCGACTACTTGCATTGAGTCGCAGTCGATTCCATGGTGCTCAACCCTTTTTGTCTCAATAACAAAATTGATTCATGATTTTGTTTTGTGGGTGTGAAGGTAGTAAACGGTTATGAAACAAGATATAAATTAGTTTATACCGTTAAACGGTTCGCTAAGGGGGTTTAAAATGAATATTAAAATAACAAAAAAAGTTAAAAGGTGGGTATTTGGAGCCTTTCACCCTTTTGTAACTGTTTACAACCGTTATTTATCCTTTACACTGTCTTTTTACCTATATGACCTAATTTTTTAACTCATTTTTTATTCCTCCTATAGGCTTATTTTTATTCAAAGAACTGGACGCTCGAGGCAAATACCCGAATGGCCACCTATTTCATCAGGAACTAGGGTACTTCGGAAATTTGCCGATGTTTTCAAAATTCTCCGATGTAGTTTCAGTTCAATCACGCTTAAGAGTTTTATTCGCAACTGCTACGGCAGTGCTTATATCAGTGAGACGCCCTGCTCAATCCTGGCCTTGGAACACTTTTCCAATAGAAGGCTGTATCTGGTTTAGTAATCTACTGGGGGAACGACGCAGTCTCTGTACGGATCGCGATGATGTGGTCGAAACATGTACAGGAACAACGGCAAACACATGGGGTGTTTAGAGGAAATACCATTATTGCGTTGTTTACCTTCTAACGTCGAAATCTTGGATGGTCACTTTACAGTCAGTACAGCTTGAGATACGGATACTTACGTAACCGGACGTACGTCATCCATTACCAACGTTGAGTGGCCAATTCTCTCACATTCTTCCGGACTTCAGGCCATACTCCTGATTTTACTAGACGAGGACTTAAAGCGGGCCAGACAAGAGAACGAGACACTTGGCCAGCTCGTGCGTGCCTACGAGCGAGTATATGCCGAGATCCAAAAGGCCTTCGACCGCATGCGCAAACGCATGTGCAGTCTAGCCTTCGAACGCAAGGTGTTTGAACATGAACGGCATCGCGAGATACGCATACGTTCCGTTCGTCCGTTTTGAAACTGGACGAATAAGCAAATCACTTTCGTGAATCCTGAAAACTGGAGCTTCTGGTCAACGTTTTCGAGGCGGGATGCGACAAGTCACTTTCCGTCGGTGAAGCCGTGCAACGGATCCGTCAGTCCAGAGGAGTGTATGTGATGGCTACGGTGCCACCAACACGAATTACTACGTCTCTGCTGGCCGTACCAACGCTTTCGGCGTTACCGCCCATACCATTACTACTGGTCATCGCATACGCCGCTATGCCAACGAAGGATGATCGGCCATGACAGCGAAAGACGGAGCCGTCGTGGAAGGGCAAGACATACCTTCCGTGACGACGAGCATCACTGTAACCAAAGGCAAATCTCTTGGTTCGTCGAAGACAGCTGTCGATGAAGAGAGCCGGACAACTGCACAAAAAAAATGGATGCGATACCTCCCGGTCGGATCCATATTGCCCGACTGAGATGGTCCCAACGCACCGCACGTGACTCGTTTCAATGATGCCGTCCGTAAGTTTTGGCGTCTGTACGGATAAAAACTGTGGGAGCGGACGTATTTCCGTATTCAACGAACCAGTTGGACTCCTTTATCCACCAGGTGGTATACTTGTACGCCGAGCTGCAGTTGTTGATGGGCAATACGGACTACGGTAACAGCCTCGTCCACTTCTTGTGCTTCCCTCATCCTGCCTGGCCGATCCTCACGTTGAAGCCGCCAACGCCGTGCGTCATTCTCGCAGAGGATCCCAAGCGGAATCATATCGTCGCCGACTATTGGCTCAAAGAATCGGTACGTTTGTGGCCCGACGTTCCGTCCGTGCCGCATCCAAGCGAACCCGGCAGCGTCGTGTATACGCACGACCTGGGGGCGACAGCGGCCTACGTCGCAACGCGCACCCAGCAGTCCAGTGTAAGCTCAAGAGTTGGAACCTCGACGCCTCCTCCATGCTAGCGAGTTTGGCCGCCACTACGAGAACTTTTGTCGACAAGAACTGCCCATGGTGTACGGAAACAGTTCGCCGACGACAAGCTGGGTCATGCTTGCACAAATCACGGATGTTGGTCATCGGCTACACACACTCACGCACGTGTAGTCGACACGAGGCTGACGCCGAGAACACTTCCCCCCAACAAGGGATGGCCGCACGCACGCTCGATGTCTTCAACCATTTCACTTTCGCCGTCTTCATTCATGCGGTCCTTGGTCCAACAACGGAAAACTATGGGCACGTCTTCATAGATCGAAAGGGCTGGCTCCCATGTGCACTCCAAATCCTCCAAGCCGTACCACTTGATCTTCAATTTCCAGACCGTATCGTGCATGCGTAGGTCTTGTACGGCCTCGACGAAGAACCTTTCATCTCCAAACGCAATCTGCGCCTTCAGGTCTTCGTCGACTTCAAGGCCGCCCTCGTAGTACATACACAGTCGACTGGCATGGTGCAGGACGATCGCGTCCGGTGGGACCAACTGTTGGACCTCCATGAGGTGGTCGGAAACCACCTTGACCACACGATACGGACTCTTCCAACGCAGTGTCAGCTTGCCAGGGTGTTTCAAGGCACGGGCCACCACGACGAAGTCGCCCAGCGCGAAGTTTGCCAACTTGACCGTACGATTTTCCCTTCCGCTGGATACGGGCCTTGTTTCGCTTGCCCGCAGCCGTTTCAGTCACTTGCTTGTGCATCACAGACAAGGCGTTCGCAAGGCCCACCACATGTCGCTTGGCTTCAGACTGAATCCAATCAATCGTGGCGACTTCCGCACCTTCCGCACGGACAAGGCCAGACAATGGCGGGGTCGCTTGTAGGCCGGTAAACGCCGTTATTGGTGCAATTCCGCCCATACGGTCCGCAGGTTGCTGGTTCAGGGCGGACTGGACAAGTGGCAGGGCTTTCGGCCACTCCATGGGTTGCAGCCGCATCTCTCTGCACAGTGTTTTCAACGTCCGTACGATGATGCGGTTCACAACTTCCACGGTTCCGTTCGCCCAAGGGCAGTGCGGGGTAACAAAATATTAGTGCACGCCGAACATGCGGCCGATGGTGCTCACCATCTCGTTCTTGAAATGGGACCCGCAGGCCGACACCCAAGTCTTCACCACACCAAACAGACCGAACCATTCCATAAGAGCAGCGGCCGTTACGACCGCCGTAGCCGTCGCGCTTGCGTGCAGACGGACAAACCCGCTCATGTCGTCTTTCATCACCAAGACGTTCTTCAGTCCGTCCGCCGCTTCAGCAAAGGACACCCAGTCGAAGTGAATCAACTCGTTGGGCTTCGTCGCGTGCAACGCCTCGCCCCACGGACGGGGTACGGACTCACCATCCACGACCATGCAATGGAGGCACGCCGTGACAAATTTTTTGACGTCCATCTTCAAGGTCGTCCACTCGAAAACTTCCGATACGAACTCCGTAGTCGCCTGAACTCGTCGGTGTCCGGCCACGCCGGCATGAGCGACGCGGATACGGGTTTGCATGTCCACCGCGTCATCTGGGATTCATATCTTGCCATACGCCGGTTGGAGACACTTCTTCTCCGGACTCCAGGTCGCGCACCGTTCGCAGTCCGTATGAGCCCGTTGCAGCTCCGTAATACGGTCCGCCGTAGGCCATAAGAACGTGTCCGTACGTAAAGACGAGACCAGTGCCAACTTCTGCATACGGGCGCCATAAGCCTCCATTGGAACACTTCCCCAACGACTGAGCAGATCGGCCCATAAGTTGTCTTCGCCGGCCACACATTCCACCACGTAGGGGAACGTAGTCATCGTCAGCGCCCAACGTTGAAGCTTGTGCGCCTGATACTTGGCCATGTTGGAGTTCGACCCCAACGGGTTGAACATGTACACGAGATTACGGTGATCCGTAAACAGACAGAACCCGCCTGGCCGTATGAGGAGGTACTCAAGTCGCTTGCAGGACTCCACCACCGCAAACGCCTCCTTCTCCACTATATGACACGGTTCGCTCGCGCCACGGAACGCTCCATTCAGAAATGCCAACGGCTCGTGCCGCTGGTCGATCGCCGCCAAAGCAAGCTCCTCGACCGGTACTTGAGTCGCCATCGCCCCCCAATATCCTTCGCTCGCGTCCGCATTGAGGCAAACCATACGATCCGGATCTGGGTGGGTCAAAGGCACCATAGATTTCAATGTCGACTTGATACGGTTGAAACACGCCTGATGATCGTCACACCAACCGACGGAACTCAACGCCACACGGGTCAACGCGGTCTTCTTACGGGAGTCGGCTGCTTTGGCCGAGATGTCCATAAGTTTCGTCAACGGGGCCACCAGCTCCGTATAATGAGTGATGTTCGCACGTATCCAGTTCGTAGCACACAGGAACCGTTGGAGGTCCGCGGCCGTCTGTGGCGGCTCCAAATCGCAAAGGCCTAGCACTCGACCCGGAGCATGCGCCACGCCGTCCGCTGAGATCTCCTTTCCGCACCATACGGTCTTCGTCGTGAAGAACGAACACTTGCCCGGATGCAACTTGAGACCGTACGTCTGGCATACGGTCAGTACTTGACGGAGCAAATGTAGCAAGTCGTCCATATTCTCGGCGTATCCCAGCAGGTCGTCGAGCCAACCGAGCAGACCGTGCATGAGCATGTCTCCGAACAGCTCGTCCACAACGCCTTGACAGTACGCCACCGCATCCGACTGGCCCATCAGCACCCGCGTTGGAGTGACAACCCCGACCGGCTTCATGAAAGAGTAGTGCTCCTGGGAGTCAGGGTGTAAGGGCAATTGCCAATAACCCTTCATCCAGTCCAGAGTGAAGTACATCGTAGAGCCTTGCAGTACGGACATCGCAACTTCTAAGTTGGGCATCGGCCATGGCTTCGTCTCCGCACATGCGTTGATCGGTCTTGCGTCGATCGTCATCCGTAGGTCGCCCGGATCGGGACGATACGGGCGACCTAACGTGACCGAGAGTTACGGTACACCAAACCGGCTTCTTCAAGCTCACGTACGTGCTTCTCCAAGTACGCCACATGAGTTGGTGGGTAACGCCGAAGTCCTGACTTCACTGGAACGGATCCGGGCTTCAGTTGCACCTTCAACGGCACCCCTTGACCGGAGGATCCCGACCGAACTTCACACGGAATACGTCCTTGAACTCCACCAGTACGTCTTGTAAGCGCCGTACGGACTCTTCATCCATGCCCTGGGAAGCGGCGTCGGCAACTTTGCTCATCAGCACCGTACGGACCGGATCGTCGTCGACTTGCCCGTCGTCTGTGGGGTACGGGTCCGTACCCCTGTCTGGAGTCGCGCAACACATCCCTTCGTCGTCGTCGATGTCGTCCACCAACGTCTCTTCCATACGGAGGGTTCGATGCATCGCCTCACCGGGCGTCGCGATCGACTGGTCGGTAAAGTCCCATTCCGCTTGCTTACGACGAGCGTTCTCGAGCAATGTCTTGTCGCTGTAACCCAGCTTCTGCATGACCGGCAGGCCTAAGGTCAGTTCCACGCTCGCCACAGCTTCGTCGACCCATACGCGCAACCCGCGCAACATCAAGGGTCCACATCCGGTCTTCCGAAAACGGACTTGCTTGGTCACGACGACCGGTCGACTGTCCGCTCCGTACGGCCGTAGGGAAAACGGTTCCATGGTTGTGATCTCTGGCGCAGCACCCGCTGCCATACGGTGTCCATTTCCACGTCCACCATCCCTTCGTCCACGATCACCGTCGCTCCGTCCACGGCCGAGGGTTCGTCCGTGTGCCTTGAGGAGCTTCACTGCTTCCTCTTCGGTGATACCCGGGCACTCCCGTACGCGATGGCTCGTAGACTTGCACTTCAGACAGCCGTTCGCTGACGTCAGCCCAGGTGGTGCCTGGGGCGTCGTCGCTGTCGCTGGTGCCCGTGGTGTCGACTGAGTCGGAGCCGTACGGAGTCCGTGTGTACCGCCTTGGTTCGTCTTGGGCGGATCCGGCTTCGCAGCTGGCGTCGTATCTTCTTCGTAACCGACGAACCGTTCGTGCCCGATCGGGTACTCCGGCAATCACCGTACGAAACGGTACACGCCCTTCTTCAACGGCTTGTTGCGTGTCAACGCCATCTGCTCAGTCACGGCACGATAGAGCGACACCGGCTTGACCGCGTCCGTAATGATCTTGACGATCGCTGGGCTTTCTTCCTTGATCACCCATTCCTGACGGTCGCGACGGATGGCGGCTGCCAGTCCATCAAACATCTTCCCAATACGTGAGTCGGCATCTTGTACGGACATGTCAAACACGACAGCCGCCTTGATCCGTTTCTTGAGCGTGTCCAGCGCCTGTGGGTCGACGTCGTAACCTTGCCGGAACCACGCAACCCATTCGGCTTCACAGTCAGTCACTTCATACGGGCCCTTACCCATATCCCACTCAGCAATACGTTGCTTGCTAGCTGGATCGATGCATGCGTTCACCGGCATGACGAACGGTTTAGTCCCATTGACGGTAAGGGCCGTTGTCTGGCTGATGTACAAGTTGTACGCGGCCATAAACGTACGGCGTTCCTCCTTGGTCGATCCCTTGAACTTCGGATGTTTCGGGAGGGCCGGAGCGTTGTGCAGGTACACATCCGTCTGGCCCATGCCACGTCTTCCTTCTCCGCGGGCGGGACATCCGTAGGCGCCGTGCTGTCAGGCGCTGGACCGGTCGGCCGTCCGTACGTCCATGACTCGTCCACTGCCACCGACTGTTGGCGTCCTTGGGGTGATCGAAACAGTCGCCGCACCGTCTCTTGGCTCCGCGGCCTTCCGTGGTCTTGGAAACGGCCTTGGAATGCAGATCCGGCCGTCGGACTTGCGGAGCGATCCGAACGGGATCGATCTTCGCGTTCTTCATCGTGGTCGCTGCCAGGGAGCTCTACGTTCATGGCACGGTCGTTCCCACTCGAGAGGTCTTCCATGCGTTCAGATGCTAGCGTGTCTAAAGACAGCTAAAGAATTCTTTGTTGTCTTGCGCCGGTGTTCACAACCGACGGTTACCGTGTTCACAACGGTGACCTCGATGACAAATCCAAAAGTGATCTTCATTATCAATCATGTCTAAGTTCTTCCTCACAACCAATCATCTGCTACAGTCCACCTGAGCCACTGAATAACTTGGTTGCGCAACCATCATGCACATCCGGACACGGATGTTGGTCATCGGCTACACACACTCACGCACGTGTAGTCGACACGAGGCTGACGCCGAGAACAGTAATAAACGAGGCGTAATCGGTCAATCTCGAACGTGGCGCAATAACAAAGACCACCTGCGTGTTCCACGAGGTACTCAGGCTCAGCGTTCGGACGTTTCCGTTTGTCCGAGACCTTCGATATCGGGGATTCCAGGTTCGTGTACGCTAAGTCTCCGTCAGGGAATCGACTCGCCCTGCAAAGCTGCTTTCCGGCAACAACTCAGAGGCAAGCCACGCGTCGTTCTGATCGCCCTCGTCGAACGCTGGGCTCCGGTCGTTATCCGATGGCGTGCGGCGCAGCAACCGTTCTGGTATGTCGACATCCTTCGCACGAGACCAATACCCGTGGAATTTGTTCAATCGGTCCACGTTGATGGGCACCACCCAGTCCGGATGAGATGGAAGGTAGATACGGAACGTATTCTCACCTTGACGAGAATGGATACGGTACGGACCGTACCAATAGCAAGCGAGCTTCTTGATGGGTTTATCGTTCTCATCCGTTGACTTGCGAAAGTACTGATGCAACCATACGGAGTCCGCAGGTTGATAATCCGCTTGCTTTGTTCGTCCGTCGCTGTAGCCGAACGGTTCTGACCAATTGGGATTCCACCAATCGTCATGTTTCCTGGAACCATGCAAACTGCTTCCATCGCCACTGAGGAAGGTCATCCAACTTCCATGGTGTGTCCTGATTTGTAAACACGATGTCCAACGGCTGGATCGGGTCGAGTCCAAACAAACAGAAAACCGGAAAGACGCCGAGCGTCGACTGGTAGGCCGTACGATACGCGAACAACAGGCGAGGTAAGTACACATCCTAATCCGTCAGTACCGAGCTCACTATCATCTTCAGCATCGTAGCTATGGTGTGGTTGAAACGCTCAATCAGCCCTTGACCCTGCTGATGTCCTGGGGCGCTCGCCATCTTCTCGATTCCCAACGTTTAATATATTGAGTGGGCCAACTGGGAAACAAAGTTGGTACCTCGATCCGACAGTACCCGTATCTGCACACGCCCTCGCCTACGAACACACGGACGTCGACGACTTAAAATTCGGAACTGCAAATGCCTACGGCCAGCGTGTGAAGTAGGCGACGATTATCTGGACAAACTTGTTCCCATTCGCAGTCGGAGGGAACGGACCCAACGCGTCAACAACCACCATGCTGAACGGACCCTTCAATCTGTACACCGGCATGCGCTGGAGCTTTCCGTTTCTCCACGGTGTGGACCCTTTAGAAGCACCGCAGTGAACGCACAGCCGACAATACTCTGCCACATCTTCGCGCCACCCTTTCCAGTAGCCCACTCGCCTGACTCTCTCCGTAGTCCGTATCACACCAAAATGACGCGACAAGGCTGAATCATGACACAATTCCAACACGAATGAGAGAAAGGGGAATCACGGACACCAAAGTCGTCACAGCATTGCGCAGAGGTGACTTGATAATCGCCCGTCGGTACACGATGGTTTGATCGCGTCTCGATCAAACGGAACGGCTTCCTCCAACAGGTACGCCTTTATTACCCGTATGAACGTATCCTTGGCTTGTTCTTCCGTGAGAAGATCGGAAGGCACATTGTACGAGTTGTCCAAGGGACTATCGATACATGGGGGACTTCCAGACTTAGGTCGACAATACCGGTACGGTCCGCTTCCAGGAGTGGAAGGTCCGTTTCTTCACCCCTCTCGGGCTCCGTTTCTCCTTGTTCACTTGGACCATCGTACATTCCCGTAGCTCTTTCCGTACGTAATAAGCCCCGGCCGTACTGCTCCGTATGTCGCCGGCCCGTTGCCGTAACTTCCGGACTTAAAACGTCCAACCCCATACGCTCCATAAGCGTTTCTTCCGGGTCCGTATCTGTTGGCGCCGTGCGCATCGTATCCGCCTCGCACAGGTCAGTATCAGCTCTCATACGGCGTGTTTTATGTACGGACTGTCTCGTCCGATACGGTCAGTTCGGCTTGACACGAGTAGCTACCATCATACGGGTCGTGGAAACATGGGTGCCTTCCGCACCTTCTGACTGAGTCGCCAGACCTTCCGTACCAACTGTTGCCAACTCCGTACAGTCCGCACCCGTCGGTTCCTGGGAGATTACGGATATCTATAGTCTCGATAGCCCATCCGCACAACCTATGCTTACTCCCGGTCGATGCGTCACAGTGAACGTAAACTCTGCAAGTGGGAGACCCAACGAGCCAGCGTAGCGTTGGTTGAGTTTGATCCAGACTTGGACAACCAAGCCAACGCTGAATGGGACCAAGCCAACGCTGAATGATCCGTGAACAACGTATAGCGACGATGATCCAAATACTCACGGAACTTGCTCGTAGCCAAGACAATCCCGTAGTATTCAATTTCTGAAGTGCCGTCCTTCTTGCTGATCCAACGTTTCTGGGTTTGGTTCAACCACCTGGCTAGCGTAAGCAATCGCCCGCTCTCGGCCGTTCTGCTTCTGCATCCAGACGGTTCCAACGGCAATGGAGCACCCGTCCACATACACGATGAACGGAAGCTCGAAGTCTGGGTACGCCAAAATCGGGGGACTTGACAATGCTCACTTCAACTTGTCCAGTGCGACGTCGCAGTCAACGTCCCATTCGTACCGTTCCGCCGTCTTCAGTCGTACCAACGGTCTCGACGCCCCGCTATCGATCAATGCGGACATCTTCGCGCAATTGAGCGAAACAACCTTAAGGGGCACCAAGTTGTCACTACCCACGTGGTAGATCAACCGTTTCGGAACCACCACGTCGTCTTCCTTCACCGCGTACAACTCACTATTGTGGTCACTCACCAACCGTTACGATGGCGCCGCATCTTTTCATCATCCACACTCGGTATGAACAAGGGATCTGTGTCAAGTAAGGGGTTCATGTGTCCGGACGTCGGATCGGGTGCAGGTGGAATCCGACTAGCCGTTACCGAGCACACCAGCGTATGCCTACTGTATGACGCTGCATCGCGGACACACACGACGACGCCTTCTCTGCGAAGTGGACTAGGTGGTGAAACGCCAGCCGAGTCAATTCACGTCGAAGCGAGAAAAAATGCCAGTTGAGACGCCAAACTTCGCCAGGGCGTCTCGTAGACTCCAAATCCGTCAACGTTATCGACGCCGTAACCCCGAGCGCTTCAAATACGTACGCCGCTCGGCCGTAGAACCAAACTTGTTTCGTGGGCTGTGGACGAAAACCCACCGTAGCCACGACAGCCTGACGTAAGCGTCCACCTTCACCGTCCGACCAGCCACCGACTCGACAAGAGGACCTACGCTCGGTATTTCGTCCACCCGAAGGTATTTGCGTTGGAATCTGGCCCAGTGCGTAGTCGCCACAAGCGCCGTACGTTCGTCGTTGAAATTGCGATTAGAACAACGAGACTCTTCACACGTAACTAGAGCGTTCGCGAACCACTGAAGCCAACGCTTAGGATCATCCAAATCCGCAGGTGATTCCAAAAGTTGAGTCTGCGTCTGTAAGTTTGCGCTTGATTGCATGAATGATCACTTCCGCGATTTCTTGATGTGTCGGGTTTGCGCGCCAGGTCACCGATTTTTCGGACTTGGTTCGCAACGTCCGCTTTGGTCAACGGCAACATCCGTTCTTCTATGTCAACGTGCAGACCTTGACGATTCCCGGAAAATCGCCTGTGATGATGTTTTCTATCTGGGTTGGAGTGAACACGGGCTCTACAACGACTTCCAGTTGATTCGGAGGGACTTTGGCAATCCCGTACGGAGCGAACACAGTCTCCACAGCTGCCGTAAGGTCCGTACGATATCCTACCACATCATCGTGGGCGTCAGGAATGCCGACCAGTTTGCTCAAGGCCTCGGATGCACTTCCGCACACAACAGACTCCATCCGTCCCTCTACGACTGGGTCGAGTGTCGTGTCAAAATCGACGAACACAAGCTCACCGATCGCGTCTGCTGATGTTGTCAGCACCAGACGGCAAGATTCGATTGTACCGTCACACGGGACGGGCAACTCTGGCCACGTCGCTCGCTGTAACTCCACAGTGTCGCCATCCTTCGTCGCGCCACGCGGAACTGGCAATCCCGCCAGTATCGTCCGCGAAATCAGCAATTCTGCCAATCCGACTGTCGCGTGGTCAAGTTTACCTACCCTGTGTTCCTTCTCTGAACGCTGAACTTCACCCTGAGCCTGCATCCCCGCGGGCTTTTCACACCTTTTTGTATACGTACAGCCTTCTCCTCTACCCAACGTAACCGTTCCCTGACTCCGTGCTACCGTCGAGTCTTCTCGCACAAATTCTTCACCGACCGCAGGACTTTCCACCGGGTCTTCACTTCAACACCGTCCGTACGCGTCTCTTCTCGACCCATTCGAGGGTCTTCACGCGGAACCGGCAACTCTACCGACTCCGTATTTCGTGTCCGATCTGGCAATCCCAAAAATTCACGCCACGAACCAACTGCTCGGGTCGTCCGTTTGTTCTTTTTTCTCTTCACCGTCCGGCCGGATGACCGGATTTTCACTTGCCACAGGCCGACCCGCGGGCCCGCCACGCGGCACCCATATGCGCTTCGACACCTTCGTCATCTTTCCTTGTTTGCCGCGTCGCCTATCAACCAACGCAGCCGTCTCGTCTTGTCTCGCAGAAGTCTTGTCAGGAGGACCTTCCACCGCAGCCGCATACGTAGTGGCGAATGAGATCGTCGGCGTATGTACTCCATGACCCAGCCTAGGATGCGATCGAAGCATTTTAAGCAATCCTTGGATATAAGGAAGAGCTCTTCCTGCCGGCGTTCTGCGCGTTCGATGAGGAGTGAGGTGAGCACGGCTACAGCTTGGACAGTGCGGTCCCACTGAAATCCGTTTTGCATCTCCTGATTGGGTAAGCAGGGGGAGATGTAATCCCGTATAACGGTAAAAATTCTGAACAGTGATGTGGCGCCAAGGAGGAAGGCCAGGGTTGAGGTGTACAACGCCGTGGGCAGTGGCCGATTTGGCGAGGTATATCATCTGTTTGCGTCCGAGGATCGGGGGAATAGGCCAGTGCGTAAGATCAGGTTGATGATGGTTCGTTCCCGTTCACGAATGCACACCGGGGCAGACACCCCCATAACCTGGGGGCACTCTCGTACGGAGACTGTGGTCGCAGCGTGCTTGCATAGCTTCATCGTATTGATAGGTGTCCCATGTGGTGCCCGCGGGGGGTTGGAAGGCCTGCGCGACGACGTCTGGGCGATCCATATCATGGAGGAGCCAGTCACGGACAAAGTGTGGGACTTGTAGGCGGTCGAAGTGTAGGCTGGTATCTAAGTGCCGAGGTAGTATTTTTCGCGGGGGGGATCCAGTTGTCAAGAAGCAGTCGGAGTCCTGCGGCATCTGCAGGAGATATTATGACACTCTGGATGGGAATGGGTGAAGTGGGTGCTCCGAGTGCTGATCAGAGGCATTTCCGGGTTTGGCGGCCTTGGAACAAAGCGGTTCTTTGTTGCACGCGGGTTTATCGGATGCAGGTGGTACGCCAGTCGCGTCGTTTGCGACATACATTTTTCCAGCGTGCGATGCCCTGGCGTAGCCAGCAGTCCCAGTCTTAGGTGTTGGCCTGTGCAGTGGGCATGGCAGTCCACCAGTCACCGATCGCTATAGCGTCAGACCGGTGCAAGCACGTGGATGGGAGAAGGTTTGGATTGCGGATCCATTTGTACCATTCCACCATGTGGGCAAGTCGGATATATTCGGTCCCCATAATAGGGGTTGTGGCTTCATGGATGCGGAGCAGGTGATGGAGCTGTGCAGTGCATCGGTTGGTGCGTTGGATCGCCACTGCCCTGTTGAGGGCCTTCCGAGTTTGGCTGGTTCCCCCCCACTTGATTTTGGCGCTGGTGTATAGGATATCATAGAGGTTTTGGACCGCCGCCTTAAGCCAGTCGGTGGTACCTTGCGGGACTACGTCGTCCGCATGGGGGGTGCCGTGTCCTGTGGTCTGTGTGGTGGCCTGTGCAAGCCATTGCCATTCCTGGTCGGTTGCCTCGCGGTGAGCCGCAGGCGGGTCCTGGCAGTACGTACCGATGAGGGTTAGGAGAGAGCCTTTTCCAAGGCGAACACAAATGGAGATACTGCGACCCGAAGGGAAGTAGGATGTACGCCGGGCATCGATGCGTGCGTGCCAGCATATCATACAGGATGCTGACTCTGTGGTTACTGATGGCCATAAGGTGAGATGTGAGGCAGCCACTGGGTGTGGGGGTCCAGAGTTGTGTGGCCTTGTGTGTGGGAAGGTCGGAGTCGGCGAGATGAGAAAGTCCAGCGCGCTGGCATGGAACCAGGTGGCCAGCTCATCTCCCAGTTTACCATACGTGTTTTTATTGATGTTGGTCGATGCAATACGCAGGCTATCTATCAGGTGGGGGTGCCTTGCCTGGGTCACCAATGTAGGCTTCTTTGAGGGATTCACGCCGGAGCATGTTATCGAGTTGGTGTCTGGCTGTGTCGGTCTCAGTGGGGGGAGAGGAAGGCGCTGGATCCGCAAGGTGCGTCGGCGGTGGCGTTTTCGGGGGGAGATGGTGTCGGGGGCATTCGGCGGGGGTGGCTGTAGCGCGTCCGCAGTGCGGGCATCGAGGAGCTCGGAGTTGTTAGAGTCTGACGAGTACGGATCCGGCAGGTGGCCGAAGGTAAGGACTGGAATGGCGGGGTGTAACGGTGGTGTGAGTAATGGTGGTAGGGGCGGTGGCGGTGATAACAAATGGGTGGCAGCGGCCAAAGGGGATAGCAGGAGAACCAGAGCAGTAGGCTCAGGATCCACCATGTTCCAGACTAGGGGCGTTGCCGGGGTGTCGTCGGTCTGGTCGGACACCCCGCGGTTAGTTTGACGCCATCTGTTCGTCCGGCTCCGGGTCCATTTATTGTCGGGGCCTTGGCCAAGGGCTGTTGGTTCATCCTCCTCGGAGACGAGTAAGTTCTCAGAGGAGTCGGTGACGGGTGGCATGGGTGCGGTGGGCGTTGGCAGGTAGAGGCCCGAGGCCTGCCAGACGGACATGTGGGGGATATAGATTGCATGGCTTGCAGGAGTGTGTGGACACCGGATTCGAAATAGGGGAGCCGTGCGGCTAAGGCGGCCTGTTGGGACTCGTGTTGTGCGACTGCGGTGTTCAGTCGGATGTGTGCTTTGGTGCGTAAGCGGTTGTCTTCCGCTTGGAGGAGTTCCGCGGCTTCACGTAGGTGTCGTTCCTCTATGAGGCGCGCATCCAGTGTGGAAAAGGCAGCGCTGGAGGCGGACACAAGTGCGGTGAGGGCTTCTTTGGCGGCCTGGAGGGACTCAACCTCCTGTCGGAGTGTGGTCGTGGCCGATACGATGCGTTGGTCCACGTATGTGGAGAGCTCATGTCGGAGGTATATACTGAAGTCTGTGTTGGGTCCGGGGACCGGAGCCGGGTGGCGCTGGAGGGGCAGTTGCCAGGCCTGGGGTGGGTGGTCCTCCGGGGTGGAGTGCTGGGAGGCGGAGCGGGGGTATTATCCCGCGCGGCGGTGTCTACTGGTACTGCGCGCGTGTGTGTCCGGGCTCCGTATGTCCCTGCGAGCGGTGGATGTGTGCTGGGATTTGCTGCGGGCGCGATCCCGTGGGTCGAGATAGGTGAAGCGGTCACAGGGTTGGTCCTGGTGGTCGTCCACAGTCGCGGCACTGTACCGGTGTAGCGGATGGGCGGGGGCGACCAGTGAGGTTATGCAAGTGGACGGCAATGTCACGGATATAGAGTCTGGTGTCGCAATGCGCCAGAGGTGGACCAGAGAAAGGCAATGGGCGCTGGGGTGTCGAACGTTAGGGTGGCATAGCCGTCACCTGTGATGTCGACGTCTGGGGTGGGGAGGCGTGAGCCGCGGAGGGCGGCGAGGGTGTCCTCAGTAATAGTTGTGAGTTGTGGGGGACGACCAATGCGGACTTTGGTATCCACAAGCGTGACAGCACTGGTGGTCTGCGGGTGGAAGAATGTGGATGCGGGGTTGTCCCAGCAGAGTTCACGTAAGGGAAGGGGCTTCATGGAGGGGGGGCAAATCCAGTCGGTTGGGGCCAGCCACGTAAGTTGGCGTATACAGATTCTGCCATGCTCTGGCTGGGGGAAGACGAGGCGGAAGCGATACTGGCCTTCCGAGGGCCAGGTAACACAGCCTATGGCAGCCCAGTGGTCACGTGGGCCATGAGTTCCGGACATCCGGGCGTGGGTTTGAACGATTGCGTCAGTTGCCCCAAGGGCTCTTAGGGCACACATGAGATCCCAGGGGTGAGTTTGGATGGATTGCGGTATTCGAGTTGGTGGAAAAGAGAACCCGTTGTCGAGCACGCCAGCGTGTTGGTAGACCATAACCACAGAGATGTCGCGGAGGAATAGATAGCCACGACGTGGTGCTGACCAGGCCTGGATGGTGCGTTGTAGGGGGTCCCCGAGGAACTGCTGGCTGTGTTCCAGGAGGCCGCCGCGAAAGGTAAGGCCGAATCGTTCCTGACAGGCGTCCTATATCTCTCGACGGTAGTTGAGTATGCTGAGATGTTCTTCCGGAGGTTGGAGCTACAGGTTGATGGAGAACTGTATACGGACTTTGGCATCGGCGCAATGGCGCTCCACTTCAGTGATATCGTCAGCGGTGAAGCCTTGGAAGAGGTATTTGTCACGTTCCCAGTAACGTTGCATGGTGCGGAACATGATCGGCTGGCCATCGTCGTGTAGGTTGCGGATGTCCGGAAATTGAAGGGCTGTGGTGGTGTCATACTCCTCTAGGTCATCTTCATCGAAGGTTGGGCCAGCTAATCCGTGCTCGGTCTGTGCCGGTTCGTAGGGGCTCGGTTGGTATTTCGGGGTGGGCGGATAACGCTTGTTGTGGTATCGCTATGTCGGCGGGAGGCGAAAAGAGGGGTATGAAAAGTCAAGGTCTGGTTCAATGTCTAAGTGGTGGTGTTTGACAGGTGGCCGCGGTGGGCGGGTACGAGGCCCAGTGTGGGGGGTGGGATGGATGTGGGCCTGTCCAGGTGGTGTTGGGGCCAGTGAGGTTAGTGTGTCCTCAATAGTTGTTTGGATGGTGCGCTCGGTGGGGTTGGGCACAGTTGGACGAGTTTGGGCCCAGCATACTGCATTGTGGACGATGCCGAGTGTTGAGTACCCAGTGGGTATGTATCCGTTGGTTGGTGCGGGCTTTTCTGCCCAATGGGGGATTGGGTGGATCTGATGGGATGGGAGTAGGGAGTGGGATATCCAGGTGGTGGGGACAAGTGGGCCGTGTAATGTGTCGTGACTGGGGCTTTGGCAGTTGGTGTGGGGGTGGTATGTGGTGGTCCAGAGCGTGACGCAGGGCCGCTTCTGGTTTGGTGGTAGTGCAGCAGATGAAGGACGTGGGTCAGGTGCTGAGGCAGGAGTAGGCATGGACTTTGCAGTTGAGGGGGCAGATCGCGTGATAGTGGGACCCGTGTGAGTGGGCAGTGGACTCGTGCGTCTGTGCATAGGTTGCGTGAGGATTGATGTGCGTGGAGGCGGAAGCAGTGGCTGCAGACGAGATAAGATGGGAGTGACGTGTCCCATGTGGTTGGATGGTAGTTATAGGAGTTTGGTAAGTCCCATCGTGGGCAATAATGGGTGCATTGGTAAGTGCAGAAAAAATGGGGAGGCTGATCGGATGAGGCACCAGTGCGTTTTGCTGGGGTTGACGCCAAATGTCGGGAAGGGAGCTATGTGTGGATGAGCCTTTGGCCGCCTTGAAGGTGTGGGTGGGATGGGTCAGTCGTGATCGGAAAGGTAAGCGGCCGGTTGTGGGAGCTGTGTGACATCTGGGAGGGGCTGGTTGTCGCCATGTATCCGTGTGGTGTGGTTGATTAGCGGTCCGTTTGCTCCTGTTGGGTTCGTGGCGAGCGATGAGCGTGTGTGCGGCACACTTTGTTGCCGGGCAGTGACAGGCTGGTCAAAAGGGGGCACCGTGACCCACTTGTAGGTTACCAAGTAAGTATGTGTGGGAAGTTTTTGTAGATAGTTAAGAACTTGGAAGTTCAATGAGCGGAGATATGACAATTCCGCTGGCGATATGGGGCCACTCATTTACGCAATTCCACAGCCATACGAAATACGTACAGTGCGCGCCATGTACTTAAAGCCACCCTGTTTTTCTGTGCTATCAGCAGTTTATGCGTTCAATTCGCCCAAACGGATTGTGTTATCATCGCAATGGTGGTCATGGGCTACTATGCAGGCTGTTGGAGTGAATGAAATTGAACACTTCGCGAAAAATAGACAGAAGTCAAATTTGGGGTGCGACAGGTACTTAAAGCCACCTTACATATTTCAACAAATTCAAAGAAAAATGTCCAGGATTATAGCACTTTTATGCTACTAGTACTTCGTCTTGTCCCCACGTGCAAGCACAACTTCACTGCAGCGCTTAGGCATTGATGCAATGAGCTTATTAAGGTAGGATTGTGACAAGCTATTCCAAGCCCTTTTAATCGCCGAAATTAGCGCTTCTTTCGTCATAAATTG